AGTTGGACCCAACTCATAGCGACCCCTCCTTGGGTTTCCCAGGCAGTATCACTACGGAAGTAGATTGCCTCATCTTCCTTCCGAGGAGTGACTGGTGGGTTTGAACCACCAGCCTTCTGTTTAGCAGTCAAATGCCTTCGGCACTATGCTACCAGAGCTCCTAGAAAGTGGGAAATGTGCACTTTGGAAGGACACGTTGGAAGGCCTTGTAACACCACCTAACCATTTCACTCAACTGAAGCAGATCATTGCAATGGAAATCTAGGCCCAGAAGTCTGGAGGAAACTACCCAGGGCCACACAGCCCATAAGTGATGCAGTCAGGGCTCAAACATAGTCTCCCAGTTCTTATGAATATAGCTCTTCCCTGGCCAGACAGACGTGTGCCCTTGGCTTAGCACTCACTGCAGCCATGAGAAAAGACACCCATGACCCCAGAATACAGACCTCCACAGCCAGCAGCTCCTGGGGTACTAGTCTCACCCCAGGCTGCAGGAGGCCAAGAGGCTACCATTACTCCAAGCCAACTCCTCCCACTGTACATTCTTTGAAACAACGTGGGCCCAGCTTAGGGGCTTAGTGTGGTTCCGTTGCCCAGGCAGAGGCTCTCACCAGCTTTCTGCTCCCAATTTTTTTTTTTTAAAAAAAAGAAGAGACAATTAGAAATCAAAGGCTTAAAATGAAACTGGGGCAGGAGTGAGTATACATGTTTTGCTGGACCTCTTTGTACCACTGTCAGTTCCTTCCTTGTTCTGATGGTGGAAGTGGGTCCCAGAGCAGGAGTCAGTTAGGAGCACAGAGGGGCTGCTGATACGCCCACAAGGAGCAAATAGAGCAGAAGGACAGGCAGCATATACCTCAAACTTGAACAATCTGTTCAGGGCCAGCCCAACTGATGATCTTCATGAGTATATAGAAATAGCACATAATGATAATTCATGGACTGGCCAGCTACACAGACTGATACCTTAACCAGGGGATTAAAGTCCCAGCAGAATCTCTGTGTGGACACATATTACTTGGCCTGCATTTTTTTGTGGGCTCCTGTCTCCCAGGCTCCCCTCTGGTCTCAGAGAAGCAGAGTAACCTGGATGCTTGAAATGAAAAGAGCTTGGAAGAGCAGTACTCCACATGATCAGCCTGGAGTGACTGAAGGAGACAAAGCTCATGGTCCAGTGCACATCAGAATACTACAGAAGCAAGGCAGCCATGTACAGCTGCACAGGTTGAGCACTGCACAACTCTGAAAGGTATCAGTCTCATGGACACTGGTGTGAATCTCTCATCTCCCCTCCAGTTGTACATTACAGTAGGCTTGGGACTGATGCAAAACACTCCAGCCTGGATCTCCCAAATCACCATTTTACACAGATTTCTTCACATGATATCCTTGACCTCTTAAAAATACAACAGTGCTGTTCTCAAACCATAGTGTTTATTATTCAGCTTCCTTGATCTCCCCTTTACCTTCCTTTATCGCCTTTGCAAAACAACCACTGTCCCTGGGATCCTTACAACCAAGCCCTACTCTTTCTGGTTCTTCACAGCACCCTTGAGGGGGAGAATTCAACTACAGTACTTTGGTTTCCTGCTTGATTATATTTTGGAGTTAACTGAGGGTTAGCCTTTAGAAAGCACTTTTTATTTCAAATTAATACTTCCAGCTCTAAGCATTCTAAAATATCTAAGCTTGGTGGGGGTGGGCATATTGGTTGAGTTTCCACTAATTGACATTTCTCCATCCTGTACTTGAATACATTAAATCTACATTTCTTTACAAAACACTGCAACTGGGTCATAGTACCCTTCACCTACTAAAACTGTGATCTTTATTTATTACTGAAATGATCATTTCAAGCACAAGTTTTCTCTTTCTTCCAGGCCGGGCCCTCTCCTTTGTGACCAAGAATTTCTTTTCAAAAGCCAATGGAAACCGGCATGGTGCTCCCAACGTGGCTGTGGTAATTGTGGATGGCTGGCCCACAGACAAGGTGGAGGAGGCTGCAAGACTTGCAAGAGAGTCAGGAATCAACATTTTCTTCATCACCATTGAAGGTGCTGTTGAAAACGAGAAGCAGTATGTGATAGAACCTAACTTTGCAAACAAGGTATGTAACAACCCAGAATCTACCCAACCTAAAGGTTCCCAGTAATTTGAAAAGCAGTAATGTCATCAAAGCTGTGTTTCTTCTTCCTTCAAACATGGAGTCCCTCCCTGGGTGCGGCAAATGGCAGTGATGTACCTCCAAAAAATCGGCCATTGAAAGCGCTGTGGAGCACAGTTCTACTCTGACACACACAGGGTTGCCATGAGTTAGGGTCATATGGTAATTGTTTGTTTGTTTGTTTGTTTTTTGAGCCCACTTCTAGGCAGGAGGACCACCAGTGAGAAACAAATAAATCTGGAACCTGGAGTGTTGTTGTTGTTGTTAAATGCCATCGAGTCGTCTCCGACTCATAGCAACCCCATGCCCAGCAGAACAAAACACTGCCCTGTCCTGGCCAGCTCCATGATCCTGAACCCATCGTTGCAGCCACTGTGTCAATCTATCTCCTTGAGGGCCTTCTCCTCTTTCATCGACTTTCTACCTTACCAAGCATGATTTCCCTCTCCTGGGAATGGTTCCTTCTTACAACATGACCAAAGCAGGTGAGACAAAGTCTGGCCATTCTCTCTTCCAAGCAGCATTCCGGCTCCACTTCTTCCAGGACAGATTTGTTAGTTCTTTTAGCAGTCCATGGTATTTTTAGCATTCTTCGCCAGCACCACAATTCATAAGTATCAATTCTACTTTGGTCTTCCTTATTCATTGTCCAGCTCTCACATGCGTACAAGGCAATTGAAAATATCATGGCTTGTGTCAGGTGTACCTTAGTCCTCAAGGAGACATCTGTGCTCTTCAGCACTTGAAAGAGGTCTTTTTTAATAAATAAAAAAAAATGCATTTTATTGAAATATAATTTATGTACAGTGAAATACACAAAACTAAAGTGACATAGGTCAATGCATTTTTTTTTTTTCAGTGTTCCCTCACCTCCCTTCCCACCCCTAGTAACCAATAAAGAAAGTTTCCTTCCATATATAAACATTTCCTTAATTTTTTACAATAATGAACTAATACTATATTTGTCTTTCTATGATTGACTTATTTCACTCAGCATAACGTCCTCCAAGTTCATCCATGTTATGCAGTGTTTTGCAGATTCTACGTTTTTCTTTAGGGTTGCATAGTATTCCATTGTGTGTATGTAGCATAGTTTGGTTATCCATTCTTCTGTTGATGGTCACCTAGGTTGTTTCCATCTTTTTGCTATTGTAAATAGTGCTGTGATGAACATGGGTGTGCATATATCTGTCTTGTCCAGCCTCTCAGTTCTTTACAATCTATACCTAGTATTGGGATTGCTTGGTCAAATGATATTTCTAATTCTAGCTTTTTAAGGAATTGCCATACTTATTTCCACAGTGGTTTTATCATTTTACAGTCCCACCAGCAGTGTATGAGAGTCCCAGTCTCTCCACATCCTAGCCAGTATTTGTTATTTTCTGTCTTGTTGAACTTTGCCATTAGTGCTGGGGTGAGATGGTATCTCATTGTTTTTGCATCTCTCTGACGGCTAATGATCGTGAGCATTTCTTCAGTATTTGCTGGATGCCTGAGTATCCTCTTTGGTGAAGTGTCTATTTATGTCTTCTGCTCATTTTTTAATTGGATTGTTAATCTTTTTGTTGTTGAGGTGTTGGAGTTTTCTATACATTTTAGAGATAAGTCCCTTGTCAGATATGTAATTATCAACAAGTGTGAGTTCGTTGCTGTCATTTTGTTATGTGCTTTTTCATGGTGTTGATTTCTTTGTTCCACATAATTTTCTGTGCTGAGCTCATTTTGTTTATGAATCGTGTTATCACTTCTTCTGTTGCTATTGTTTTAGTATTTGCTAAATATTTGTGCTGGTCCTCTTCTTTATTTTGATATGAAGCTTTATCATTTTTCTTTGAGATTACTCTGTGATTTGTAGTTTTCTTCTCAACTTTAGAACAGTCCATTCTACTTATAGTTGTCTTGACTTCCCTACCATTTAGAAGTTCTGTAACTACACAATTTGTTCTCTCTTTTTGGTTTGTAGTTGTCCTCATTTGTCAATTGATGTCTCTGGTTCCCTGTTTACAATCTTGTAGGTTTATTTACTTTGGATACTTCTATAACTGGGTTGGTTTCTAGGTGATGTCATCGTGTGTGTTAATGGTCAGTTGTTGTTTGCTGTTGTTGGTTCTCTGTCCAAAGGACTCCCTTTAGCATCTCTTGTAAGGTTGGTGTGATTTTAACAAATTCTCTTAATTTCTGCTTATCTGGAAATGTCCTAATTTCACTATCATATTTGAGGAACAGTTTTGCTGGGTATGTAATTCTTAGTTGGAAATTTTCTTGAAAGATGTCTTTTGCAGCCAAATGGCCCAGTGCTGTACATCATCCGATGTCCTGACTGCTGCTTCCATTGGTGTTGATTATAGAACCAAGTAATATAAAGTCTTTGGCACCTTCAATCTTTTTTCCATTTATCATGATGCTGCTTATAGGTCCAGTTGTGAGGATATTTGGTTTTTTTTTTTTTTGTATTGAGATGCAATCCATACCGTATTCTTCAATCTTCATCAGTAAGTGCTTCAAGTCATCCTCACTTTCAGCAAGCAAAGTTGTGTCATCTGTATATCATAGGTTGTTAATGGTTCTTCTTCTGATCCTGATGCTACAGTCTTCTTCATATAGTCCAGCTTCTCAGATTATTTGCTCAGCATACAAATTGAGTAAGTATGGTGAAAGAATACCACCCTGTTGCACTCCTTTCTTGATTTTAAACCATGCAGTGTCCCCTTGTTCTATTTGAATGACAACCTTCTAGTCTGTGTATAGGTTCCTCATGAGTACAATTAAGTGTTCTGGAATTCCCATTCCAACCTTTTGGTATTCTTTGCTTTGAGTGAAGATCCATCTGACATCAGTAATGATATCCCTCATTCCACATCCTCTTCTGAATCCAGCTTGCTTTTCTGGAAGTTCTCTGTCAATATAGTGTTGCAACCATTTTTTAATTATCTTCAGTAAGATTTTGCTTGCATATGGTATTAATGATATTCTTCGATAATTTCCACATTCAGTGAGGTCATCTTTCTTTGGAATAGATACAAATATGGATCTCTTCCTGTCAGTTGGCCAGGTAGCTGTCTTCCAAATTTCCTGGCATAATAGCCAGGTGAGTGCCTCCAGTGCGGCATCCATTTGTTGAAACATCTCAAAGGGTGTTCTGTCAATTCCTGGAGGCTTGTTTTCTCCACTTCCTTCAGTGCAGCTTCAACTTCTTCCTTCAATACTATTGGTTCTTGATCATATGCCACCTCCTGAAATGGATGAACATTGACCAATTCTTTTTGCTACAGTGACTCTGTGTATTCCTTCCACCTTCTTTTGATGTTTCCTGCATCATTCAACATTTTGCCTATATTGTTGTTGTTACGTGCCATCAAGTCATCTCCAACTCATAGCAACCCTATACACAACAGAATGAAACACTACCGGGTCCTGTGTCAGCCTCACAATCCCTATTATACCTGAGCCCATCACTGCAGCCACCATATCGATCCATCTTGTCGAGGGCCTTCCCCTCTTTCGTTGACCCTCCACTTGCCCATTGTGCTGTTGTTATGTGCCGTCAAGTCGGACCCAACTCATGGTGATCCCTCCTTGAGTTTCTGAGGCAGTATCACTATGGAAGTAGATTGCCCCATCTTCCTTCCAAGGAGTGGCTGGTGGATTTGAACCACCAGCCTTCTGGTTAGCAGTTAAGTGCCTCAGGCACTACACTACCAGAGCTCCCCCATAGAATCTTTCAATATTGCAACTCAAAGATTAAATTTTGTCTTCAGTTCTTTCAGTTTCAGAAATGCTGAGCATGTTCTTCCCTTTTGGTTTCCTAACTCCAACTCTTGGCACACTTCATTATAATAATTGACTATGTCTTCTCAAGCTGCTCTTTGAATTCTTTTGTTCAGGTCTTTTATCCCATCATTTCTCCCATTTGCTTTAGCTACTCTCCTCTCTAGGGCAAGTTTCAGAATCTCTTCTGACATCCATTTTGATCTTTTCTTTCTTTCCCGTCTTTTTAATGACCTTTTGCTTTCTTCATGGATGAACCTGGAGTAACCCTTTCAAAATAAAACTCCACACCCACCTGGTAAACGGAAGCCGAGAACTTTGGGAAGAGAATGGAGAAGCAGTGTCCCCAGTGTAATCTAGAGGCTCTTCCTCATTCCTCCCACACCCCCACGGGATCTAAGGCAGAGCGCTGTTGAGCCTACACATGCACACATACACACACACACATACACACTCAGTGATAAATAATGAAAAGGAATAAATGGACCAGATCAGTGGTTTTCAAATGCTACTCCTAGGTTCTATAGAGATGCCTGTCAAAAGATGGGACCAGAACAAATGGAATCAAGGCCTTCCACACCCATTGAATCAACCAGCTCAGCTTTTGTGTGTTTCTGTGGGACTCACATTAACCTCCCCCCACCAAAAAAAAAAAAAGTTACAGCTTAAAAACAAAGAAAGAAAAAACAACTTGGACTGATTTGTCTTTGATGCCCTTCTAGCTTTAATATTCTCCATTTTCAGATCAAACAGTGCTCAACACCTTGCATCATATCCAACTACTGACCATTTCATCGTTCTTGAAATTCTCTTCTCCTCCAACTCGGGATGCAATGTGGCTCTTTCCTTTTTTCCATCTTGTACCCTAAATACAGACTTCCCAGGACTCAGTCCTCAGCTCTCTGGTCTTCTCTCACTTGGCTTTCTTCCCTGCCCCGCCTCTCACCCAGGGCCACAGCTTCAGCCTGCACTTGGAGCAGCAATTTCCACATATGTCTCCACACCTGGCCTTTCTCTTTCCAGACATCCATTCCCAGCTAAATGACTTTTGTTCACCAAGATAATCCATCAGAACCTTGACTGCATTTAAAAAGCCAAACCCATCCTCTTTCCCACCTAAACTGGCTCCTCCTCTGGGCTTTCCCATTTGCATTAATGACACCATGTCCCCCCATTCAGAGACATCCCGAAATGCCTAATTAGCTGCTGAGCCCCACATTCTCATTTATAATATCCTTCCACTTTTCCCATGTGACCCCTCCTCATTTCTAGTTAGTACTTTACATCTATCTTCTCTCCTCCCTCCTGGGTCTCCCCAGTTCAGTTTAGACTTCACAGTGTTTATGAAGGGTTCCTCCAAGCTATGTGTTTCTTCTTCCAAATCTATCATTTACCCATTGCTCTCAATGTCCTCTGGAGTGTGATTGCAAACCACCTTCCACACATACCACACACAGGCCCTGTGCTCCAGTTAGTCTCCCTCTGTGCCCAGCAGGCCCCACTCTCTCCCACCATGATTTGACTCAGTTGGCTGGTGGGTGGCCCTCTGCTCCATCTTTTGGCTAGAATTCAGCTCAGCCTTTAACAGTCATTTCAAATACCACCTCTACCACGGAAAGTTTTGTGGATCCTTTTTAGACTTTTACAAGCCAGTTAAAAATGTTTCCTAGGAACGTTCTAAGCCACTTTGTTTTTAAATGTTTTTTAAGTGGTACAGGTTTATCTATAGTCATAAGTCAGCCTGCAGAGACAGGGGAGGGGAGGAAATGTCCCAACTTAGGAACACTAGCTCAGTCACTTCCAGAAGCACACAAAACCAAATGAATTGCTCAATGTTTATTTGCAGCTACCTCAAAGAAAAGTTTTGTTGTGATTGGGAAAACATAAGACACACATGCAAGAAATGACCAAAGAAAATGTTTCCAGAACAGCCCTTTGCCAAGGGGTCCCATTGTCCCATTGTAATGAAGTGGCCACATGTGCCAGATACTGCACCAGAGGCTCTTGGAAAGAATCTCTCAATAAATCTCCATGTTAACCCTACAAGATGAAATTACCACCTTGTGTACATAACTTTGGCATTTCTCAAGCTAAAATAACTGAAGAAAAAAATTCAATCAAGTTGCAATATTGAAGGATTCTGTGGGAAAAATATTGATCAATGGAGGAAGCATCAAAAGAAGATGGAAGGAATACACAGAGTCCCTGTACCAACATAATTGGTTGGCATTCAACCATTTCAGGAAGTAACATATGATCAAGAACCTATGGTATTTAAAGGAAGATGTCCAAGCTGCACTGAAGGAATTTGTGAAAAACAAGGTTCCAGGAATTGGCAGAATACCAATTGAGATGTTTCAACAAATGGATGCAACTCTGAAAGCCCTTCTTTATGCCAAGAGATTTGGAAGACAGCTACCTGACCAACCAGCTGGAAGAGATCCATATTTCTGCCCATTCCAAAGAAAGATGATTGAACAGAATGCAGAAATTATTGAGCAATATCATTAATATCACACATAGGTAAAATTCTGGTGAAAATAATTCAAAATCAGTTGCAGCAGCACATCAACAGGAAGCCACCAGAAATTCAAGCCAGATTCAAAAGAGGACATGGAATGATGGATACCATTGCTGATGTCAGATGGATCTTGGCTGAAAACAAGATATTTCTGTGTTTTACTGACTGTGCATTCAACTGTGTAGATCATAACAGATTATGGATAACATTGCAAAGAATGAGGATTCCAGAACACTTAATTGTACTCATAGGAACATAGACCAAGAGGCAGCCATTGGACCAAAACAAGGGGATACTGCATGCTTTAAAATCAGGAAAGGATACATCAGGGTTCTAGACTTCACAGTGTTTATGAAGGTTCTAGACTTTCACCATACTTAGTCAATCTGTATGGTGAGCAAACTGGATTATATGAAGAAGAACACAGCATCTGGACTGGAGGAAGACTCATTAACAACCTGCTATATGCATAGTGCCTAAGGCACTTGACTGCTAACTAGAAGGCTGGTGGTTCAAACCCACCAGCCACTCCTTGGAAGGAAGGTTGGGCATTCCTACTTCCGTAGTGATACTGCCTCGGAAACCCAAGGAGGGGTCGCTATGAGTCGATGGCAAATAACAACAACAACAACATATGCAAATGAGACAACCTTGCTTGTTGAAAGTGAACAAGATTTGAAGTACTTACTGATGAAGTTCAACGACTACAGACTTTAGTAAGTATTACATCTCAATGTAAAGAAAATAAAAATCCTCACAACTGGACCAGTGAGCAACATCATGATAAATGGAGAAAAGACTGAAGTTGTCAAGGATTTCATTTTACTTAGATCCATAATCAACCCACAGAACCACCAGTTAGGAAATCAAACTACATATTGTGCTAGGCTAAGCTGATGCAAAAAAAACTCTTTAAAATGTTAAAGAGCAAAGACATCACTTTGAAGATTAATGTGCATGGACCCAGCCATTCTTTTCAGTAGCCTCATATGCATGTGAGAGCTGGGCAATAAATAAGGAAGACCACAAAAGAATTAATGCATTTGAATTGTGGTATTGGGGAAGAATATTGAAAATACTATGGACTGCAAGAGGAAAAAACAAATCTCTCTTGGAGGAAGTAAAGCTGGAATGCTCTTTAAAAGAGAAAATGTCCAGACTTCATATCATCTCATACTTCGGTCATGTTAGCAGGAGGGAACAGTCCCTGGAGAGGCATAGGGTTAGAGAAAAAGAGGAAGACCCTCAACGAAATAGATTGACACAGTGCCTGCACTCATAGCGACAATTGTGAAGATAGCACAGGATCAGGCTGTGAATCATTATGTTGTAGGTAGGGTTGCTATGAGTCCGAACAAACTCAACAGCACATAACAACAACAAGATGTAACTTTGTCTGAGTGCCTGGATGGCAAAAATGGTTAAGTGCTCACTAGTAACCAAAAGATTAGAAGTTTAAACCCACTCAGAGACACCTTAGAAGATTGGTTTGGTGATGTGCTTCCAGAAAGTTCCAGCCTTGTAAACCCTATGGAGGGCAGTTCTACTCTGTACCCCTGGGGTCACCATGAGGCAGAATCAACTCTACGCAATGAGTTTGGTTTGGGGGTTTATAACCTTGCCATGAAGGAACAAAATGAGGCCCAGCCATGAAGGAACATCCCTGAAGTCTCTGAGTCTGAAACACAAATCTTTCTGCCTTCAAAACCCAAGCTCTGTCCTCCAGACAATCCTGCCTCAAAGCAAATGAATATTTATTCACTTGTGCCCAGACTTGTTCCTGAAAAAAATTAATCCTCTCAACAAACAGTCCTAGCGACTGGTACACCACCCGATCTGCAGCCTATGAGACCAGAAGAAATAGACGGTGCTCAGCTACTACTGTCAACCACTTGGAAGAGGATCTTTGTAGGAGATCCTGGATAAACAGGGGGAACAATGTGGAGCAAAACTCAAAATCATTTAAAAAAAAAAAAAAAGCGGGGAGCAGGTTTGCTGGCCCGATGGAGCCTGGTGGAACCACTGAGACAGTGGCCCCTAGCTGCCCTTCAGGTCTGGAATTGAACGCACACTTGTGGCTTCCAGCCAAGCAATAGACGGGCATACTAGTTGAGCATTTACCTGAGATAGATACACTCCTTGGAGAGAACAAGCAAGAGAGAAAGAAGGGCTGCTCAGGCACAGGGAGACAGCTCGGGGGTAGGAGTACATGGAGAGATGGACATAGGGAAGCGGTAGCTATCCGGAGGAAGTGGGAGAAGAGATATTGCATTGTGCTAAATTGTGGTCAATGTCATGAGACAAAGTGTATGTGATCTGCTGTATGGAAAGTGTATTTCTCTGTAAATTTTCACCCAAATCACAATAAAAAAAATTTTAATAAAATAAAATAATAAAAAAATTAATCCTCTCATATAGTGGTGCCACCACTGCCATCTTGTACCTGGCTGCCAGTACAAATGAGTTGAAGGACCCAGAGAGGCATAAATACAAAGCTGATATCACTGATACACATCTCCCTGTGGGTTTGTTCAGCAGATGGCTTTTCACTACACCCCGGCTGAGGGAATCGCATGAGTCCTGGTATGGTTGGAGGAGTCTTTGCCCTAGTGAGTGCCTGATTAGGTGAACTGAGATAGAAAAAGAGAGTATTCGGAGAATTAGTGCAGAAAATAAGATGTCTATTTGGTTCTTCAGCTGCCCAGGTGGGCTAAGGTAGTGGTGACAGGTGGGAGGAATTGCCACCACCACCACCACCACCACCACCACCACCCCCGCCGCCACCCGGGCCTGATGAGTCTCCCTCCCCTCTGTGTCTCCCCAGGCTGTGTGCAGAACAAATGGTTTTTACTCCCTTAAAGTGCAGAGCTGGTTCAGCCTCCACAAGACCGTGCAGCCCCTGGTGAAGCGGGTCTGTGACTCCGACCGCCTGGCCTGCAGCAAGACCTGCTTCAACTCGGCCGACATCGGCTTCGTCATCGATGGCTCCAGCAGTGTAGGCACCAGCAACTTCCGCACAGTCCTCCAGTTTGTGGCCAACCTAACCAAAGAGTTCGAGATTTCCGAAACGGACACACGAATCGGGGCCGTGCAGTACACCTACGAGCAGCGGCTGGAGTTTGGGTTCGACCAGTACAACAGCAAGTCTGACATCCTGAACGCCATCAAGAGGGTAGGGTACTGGAGCGGAGGGACCAGCACGGGGGCAGCCATCAACTATGCCCTGGAGCAGCTCTTCCAGAAGTCTAAGCCCAACAAAAGGAAGCTAATGATCCTCATCACCGATGGGAGGTCCTATGATGACGTCCGAATACCAGCCATGGCTGCCCATCAGAAGGGTAAGCTGGCCTTACCAGGCAGTCTGGGTTCCAAGAGCTTCTCTGGGGCTGGTGAGCCAGTGGGACAAGGAAGGTACTGCCTTTTGATGAGGGACTCCTGGGTGGTGCAAACAGTTAATGCTGGCTGCTAACTAAAAGGTTGGAGGTTTGAGTCCACCCAGGGGCACTTTGGAAGAAAGGCGTGGTGATCTGCTTCTGAAAAAGCAGCCGCTGAAAACCCCTTGGAACACAGTTCTACTCTGACCCACATGGGGTCACCAGGAGTCGGAATTGACTTGACAGCAATTGGTGGTCTTTTTATGATTGATTTTGTGACCACTTAATAAAATGTTCACAACCATAGAGAGTGTTAGGTACGTAACTAAACCCAGAGGCCCCTCTGAACAGTGAAAAGGGAAAAAAAAGACCAGGTGGGTAGCAAGTTAGTTTCCAAAGTGTCATTGAAGACCTAAGGTCTGTGGGTGGCCTGAACATTAACCCTACCTTTAAATTCTACAGGAGCTCTGGTGGTGTTGTGGTTAAGGCTTGGCTGCTACCAAAACATCAGTGGTTTGAATTCACCAGCTGTTCTGCAGAAGAAAGATGTAGCAGTCTGCTTCCATAAAGATTAAAAACCCCATTGCCATGGAGTCATTTCCGACTCATAGAGACCCTGTAGGATAGAGTAGAACTGCCTCATAGAATTTCCAAGGCTGTAGGTGAGGTGCCTAAGGCATTTGACTGCTAACCCGAAGGTTGGCAGTTCAAACCCACCAGCCACTCCGCAGAAGGAAGGCTGAGCAATCTACTTCTGTAAAGATTTACTGCCTCAGAAACCCAAAGGGGGTCACTATGAGTCAGAATTGACTCGATGGCAGTGAGTTTGGTTTGGCTTGGAATCTTTATGGAGGAGCCCTGAGGACACAGTGATTAAGGCACTTTGCTGCTAACCAAAAGGTTGGCAATTTGAGCCCTCCAGCCGGCTCTGTGGAAGAAAGATGAAGCAGTCTGCTTCCATAAAGATTTACAGCCTTGGAAACCCAATGCAGGTCAACACGAGTTGGAATCAACTTGATGGCAATGTGTTTTGGTTCAGTTACATCCTACACCCTGAGGCATTTTACACAAAACTGTGATACATCAAAAGGGAATTGCATTCATTACTTTAATCTCTATTGAAGACTGCCAAATTGTGTTGATTTTAAAGAAAAATCATATATTTAAAGAAAAACGCTATTCCATTTTATAAGCAACCTGCTAACAAGATGTTAGGGTTTTGGAGGCAACTTCAGAGAAATTCTTATTCAAATATTTAAAGAAATAATTCCATATAAAAATGTCTAAGAGAACATCAGAAAGTTTATGAAAAATGAGCAAGATGTTTTTGTCAATGTTTACAAAAACAGTCAATGTATGCCCCTTTTCCAGAATCTACGTATAAGCACTTTTTCCATAAAACACAATCTGGAGAAAACCCCATGTGATCATAATAATCGTAATAATAATAAAAGCACGAGTGGTGAGTGAACACCCAGGTCCTCTAGATACGTACTGGTGAGCAGGACTCTGCATTTGTTTGTTCTCTTCTCTGCCTACATATAATGCGGCAGGATTTTCTGTATTCTTAAAAGCTGCTTTTAATCCGTCCTGAAACAAAAGCCAAACCAAGACGAAATACACTGCCACCGACTCAATTCCAACTCATAGCGAACCCCATTGGGTTTCCAAGGCAGGATATCTTTATGGAAGCAGACTGCCTCATCTTTCTTCCACAGAGCTGTTGGTGGGTTCAAATCACCAACCATTTGGCTAGCAGCCAAATGCCTTAACCACAACACCACCAGAGAGCACCTTTCCTGAAACGAGGAGTAATAAAATAAACAAAAAAGTCATAATGCACCAGCAGTGCTGGCTTCTGGGAGCAAACCTGGAGTTCAGGCAGAGTGACCCCATGATTTATTTTCATGGAGCTTGTGGGGCACACTCAGCCACAGCAGGACAGTTCATGGCCCATACACCAGCAGTCACCACGTCCCTTGGGCTCACACCAGCAGAATGAAGATGGTTTAAGACTCTAAAGCAAGCTGTCCAAAGCCCAAGGGAGTGGGCAGAGCTGGTTGAGCCAGTTCTAGATGATGAGCCCAAGGTTCTCCAGCTTCTCCAAACATTTGCCCCCCGCTTGTGTTCAGCTCCACCAACACTTTTTTATTATTTTTTTTTTAATCTAAATAGACGTCTTTTGGGACTCACCTAGGGATTATCCATTGCCTGCCTGGTAGGAAAAGTGAAGACTGAGGGAGATGTCCTGGGAGCTATCAGAGGTGTCATGATCTGGAAAACTTTAAAGTACAAGGACCGATAGGTGCAAATTGCATGGATGCAGATTCCTGCTCCACCTAACACTAAGAGTTGTCTGAAAACTAATGAGCATTTTGTCCCTGGGAACATCCAAGTTGAAGCTAGCAACCAACCATTTGTCAGAATTGCCAGTAGAAGTTTCCATACGATAGGGTGGGCTCAAGGATTGTGAACGCTACATACTAATACTGCTTGTGTTGTCTTTATTGGGAGCAGCCTTTCTATCTTTGAGCAGAAAAGACAGCTTAGTCAGTCTAAACCCAGGCCTGCAGCTAAGCTGCCTCCTGCTTCCCAACCACTTGTAGTATTTTAAAGCCCAAAGCTGGCTTTTCCCAATCTGGACAATATTCAGAGAAAAGCAATCAGAAAGATGGAGAAAATGACTGGGAGATGTAATGCAGCTGAATGGGCCACAGTTGAAAACAACCAGAACCATGTGGGGCAGGTTCAACTCTGCAGCCAGGGGACAGAGCTCCAGAAGACGGTAGAGTCAGGGAGATGAGCTGCTGTGCTCAGGCAGGAGGCCCACCAGGTTCTGCCCTCTGCTCCCATGGCACCTTGCTCATCTGCCTTGGGTCAGCCTGGAGGGGAGGGAGTTGGGCTTTTGTTCACCACTGCCCACAGCTCAAATCCAGAACCTTCATACCACATACTCACTGCCTTCCGCTAAGAATGGATGCCTAGTCTCTTAAACTCATCCTTTCCTCCTTGGGGCTTCTTGTGAACACTATGTCCCTCCCTTCCCCCCTTTTATAGCCCAGCACATTCATTCCCATTATGCGTAGTGCCTAAGGCATTTGACTCCTAACCAGAAGGCTGGTGGTTCAAACGCACCAGCCACTCCTCGAAAGGAAGGTTGGGCAATTTATTCCATAGTGATACCATCTTGGAAACCCAAGGAGGGGTCGCTATGAGTCAGATCCAACTCGATCATGAGTTTGTTTGTTTGTTTGTTTGTTTGTTTTTTGAGTATCCACATCAAGACATGCCCAAGTTCCTCACATCCTAAAAAATAAAATATTCTCCTTGACCTCAAATTTTTGCTTCAGTTACCACCTGCCTCCACCCCTTCACAGCCAAAGTTCTAGAAAAGATTAGCTGTACCTGCTAAGAGAGCCTAAGTGGTGTAAGTGGTTTGCAGTCAGCTTGGTGGTTCGAACCTACCCAACTGGTCCACGGGAGAAAAGTATGATGATCTGCTTCCATAAAGATTACAGCCAAGGAAACCATGAGGAGCAGTTCCACTCTCCACGTGGGGTCACGTGAGTCAGGGGCAAGCTGGATGGTAACTGACAACAGTGTACCTGTTATCCCCACATCTTCACTTCGCCTTCAACTCACAGCAATTCAATTGGTTTCTTCTACACCTACTCCC